GAGGAGGTGGAAAGCCATAAAGAGTTGGATGTCAGTCTGGGCTACTGAATGACATCCTGCCTCAAAAAAAGTCCCCAAATCAAACCCTGGAAAGACCTTTCTAGGTTTCCTGTGGGTTATCCCTTGAAGTTGAGCTACAGTCAGACTGCCAATCCAAAGATTCCAGTCTTGTCTTTGGGGAAAAGGTATGTTTACTATCTGATGTAGTGAAATTGTAGACTTTGGATTTTAGAAATGAAAAGTTTCCAGGAAAACTAAAGGTGTGGACTGATGTAGGATGGCCAGCTGATAATTTATCTGCTGGTGAAGACATTTAAAAGGTACTACCGTTGATTACTGGCATCGTTTGTTTCACAGAAGAAAGTATACTTTAGGGTAGTGGGTTGAAAGTCACAGCTCCAGGTCAGCCTAGACAGTTTGGTGAGACCATCTCAATGAGTCAAAATCAGGCTGGGCAGATAGCTCGGCAGTAGAACACTTGCTCAACATTCATGACGTCCTGGATTCAATGTCTCGTACTTTTTGTTGTTGTTGTTCTTGTTTTTTGAGATTGGGTTTCTCTGTGTAACAGCCCTAGCTGTCCTGGTACTGGCTCTTGTAGACCAGGCTGGCGTTGAGCTCACAAAGCTCTGCCTGCCTTTGCTGGGATTAAAGGTGTGTGCCACCACCACTCAGCATTTTTTTCATTTGTTTTTTGTACATCTAGAACTTTTTAGCAAATACAGAAGAACGTACCTTTATTAGAAAGTGCTTCCATTTTGAGGCCAGCCTGGTCTACAGAGCTAGTTCCAGGACAGGCTCCAAAGCTACAGAGAAACCCTGTCTCAAAAAAAGAAAGAAAGAAAAGAAAAGCTCTCCCATGCTGGTGTGGACAGCGCTCCCACCCACATTTTATCCTAGGCTGACTCTTGTTCAGTCTCTGCTCTAGCTCAGGGGTGGGCAGCCAGGAGAGCCAACTCAGCGTTTTTAAGTTTTTTAAAAATATTTATTTATTATGTATACAATATTCTGTTTGTGTGTATGCCTGCAGGCCAGAAGAGGGCACCAGACCCCATTACAGATGGTTATAAGCCACCATGTGGTTGGTTTCTGGGAATTGAACTCAGGACCTCTAGGAAGAGAGCCATCTCTCCAGCCCCCAATTTTTTTTTTTTTTTAATAAAATCAGGCTCTTGTTATGTACCCTAGCTGGCTTCTAACTTTAAATCCTCCTGCTTCCATCTTTTGTGTGTAGGATTACTTTGAGGCCTGGTGACCCAACACCTTTTGGTGTGCCTCACAAACTAAGAATTGTTTCCAGCGCTCAGGAGGCAGAGGCAGGCCGATCACTGTGAGTTCCAGGCCAGCCAGCCTGGGCTACAGTGTGAGGCCCTGCCACAAACAAACCAAACCAAGAATTTGTAATAGTTGCACATTTTAAAATGAGATTGTAATTGAGATCACTAGAAATATGGCTAGCGATGTAGCTCAGTTGCCTCCAATTGTGAAGGCCTGGGTATGGGCTCCAGCACTGAATATGCTGGCCTGTGGTGAATGCAGATAATGGTAAATACCTATGATCTGGCATTAGGAGGTAGAGGCAGGAAGATAAGGTCAAGGTTCTTGTCAGTTATATAGTAATTAGTAATTAGAGGCTACATGGGAAATATATATAGATATATATGTATATATACTCATATACATATATGAGAGACCTCATCTTAAAACTTCAAACAAAATTGTCAGGAATACAAGAATCATATAATAAAGTTATATTAGAAAACGGCCACATTCGTATCATTCATTGGGGCTGCTTTTGCACTGAAGAGGGGAAAAAAGGCCTCACAGTCAGCCAAGCCTAAAATAGTCACTGTCTGGCCCTTTAAGACTAGGTAAGTAGGCTTAGCCTAGTATGGTAGTTCGTGCCTATAATCCCACAATCCCAACACTCAGGACGTGGTAGCAGGAAGATCAGGAGTTCAAGGCCAGTTTGGTCTACTCAAGACCCTGTCTCACAAAAAATAAAAACAAAACCCCAGAAAAAACAAAACAAAACAAAACCCAAACCAAACCAGAGCTTCTGGTAATTTGTACATGCAAGTTATGAGGCGATGCTAACAATGCTGGCTTGGGTTTATTATGTGTGTGCATGTGGAGGAAGGGGCTTGTCATACATTCTGTGGAAGGAAGGGTAATTCTGTGGAGTTGCCTCTCTCCTTCCACCTTACCTGTCCTGGAATTTAACTCAGGTGGCCAGGCTTGCAGGGCAAGCACCTGTGCCTGCTGAACCAGCTCACCAGCTTTCTGATTGCTTCTTGTAGTTTCATGCTCCAGCCTTGGCTTTTTTTTTTTTTTTTTTTTTTTTTTTTTTTTTTTTTTTTTTTTTTTTTTTTTTTTTTTTGGTTTTTCGAGACAGGGTTTCTCTGTAGCTTTGGAGCCTGTCCTGGAACTAGCTCTTGTAGACCAGGCTGGTCTCGAACTCACAGAGATCCGCCTGCCTCTGCCTCCCGAGTGCTGGGATTAAAGGTGTGCGCCACTATCGCCTGGCTTGGCTTCTTCTCTTTATGAATTTGTATTACATTTATTCATGTTTGGCCATGTGTGCCCTCGCTGTGAAGGTGGAGGTCAGAGGACAACTCGGTGTCTCTCCTTCCACTGGGTTCCAGGGATCCAACCCAGGTCCTGGGGCTTGGTGGCAATTTTCCTTACCCTTTGAGCCGTCTCACCAGTCCTTCTGAAGTGATACCGAGGACTGAACCTAGGACTTTGTGGCTGCTACATAAGCCAAAAGCACTCTACCCCTGAACCACAGCACAGATCTGTCACTCTGTGACCTGGGGAGCCTTGCACTTGGGATGGTACTACCTAAGTCTCCCGGAATAGCACGAGGAAGTCATGTGGGGGCCCGATGAGGTCCAGGCGGAGGGAACAGCATGGAACCTGAGCAGACACACAGGTGAATCTGGCAGCAGAGGAGAGAAGGGGAGCACTGAGAGCTCTGAAGCCCGCAGCAGGGTGCAGGCCAGATTCTTCAGGCTGGTCGGTGACTGCTTTACCAAGTGAGAGAGGAAGCCATGACTATCGTTTTATATCTTATCAGGATGACTGTCGGTGCCCAGGGCACGCTTATGCAAAGGTTGAAACTGAGACTACGTCCAATAAATCAATAAATAAAAAGTAGAGACCACAGCTTAAATCACGGAGGAAGTTGTGAGATGATGCTGAAGTGTATTATTTTTGATTTGTATTTTGAAAGAGAGATGGACTGACTTACTGGGTATGGGGAAGCGGGACTTAGGTGGCAGTCAAAAGCTTGACTTTGAAATGGATATTAGACACCCAGTTGGACAGTCTAGGCACTTGGAGACCTGATTTTGGAGTTAGAGCCCAACAGGCTACAAATCTGGGAGGTTTCAGTGTATGTGAATTAAGAGTGAGATGGTGTGGAGTCTTCCTATGAAAAAGACCACATTCTACAAACTTTCCAGGACTTCCTGGAAGATCTGTGGCCAGTCTGAAGGAAAGAGGGCTGGGACTCTGGACTTTCACAGCCATTCCCAAGCTTTCAGTGTGTCATGCTTCAGAGCCCGCAAAACAGAGGGGTCTCTAACTGGAAGCTTTCACACTGGGCCAGATGTCCTCTTCATCCCTGCACGATTTAGTTAGTTTTGGAGATAAGGTCTCTCTCCATGTAGCACTGCCTGTCCTGGAACTTGATTATGTAGAGCTGGCCTCAAACTCACAGAAATTCTCCTGCCTCTGCCTCCCGAGGTGCTGGGATTAACGGCGTGCGCCACTACACCCGGTTACCTCCATAAAATTTTTTCAGTAGTGCCCTTCAGACAGAAAAGCAACCAATTAATTTACAAGTTTTTCCACAGGGAAATGTGCGAGGAGTTGGTGGCCAAAGTTGCTTGGAAAATGACGGCACACACATAGACACTATGAACCTGAGAAATGGGAAGAAGTGCTCAAACTGAAGGCCCTAAAGAACGCTTAGTCCCAATACAAGCAATCTTCATAGATTTCCTGTGCCTTCTTGCAGAAGATTCTAGCAATAGCTTAAGTCTGAGGACATGGCTGTTAAGAAAGAACTATTGGTAGTTGGCAGAACTTCACCCCAAATCCCAAGAAGGTTGTAGTAAAAACTCCCTGGGCAGCAGACATCATCTATTTTGCTGCTTCTAGAACCAGAGGTCCCCTCCATGTGTGTGCTGGACCCCTTAGAGACAAAGAACTTCGTTTCTTTCCCAACCCGCGTGGGACCGCCATGGAGCCTACGGGGTGGAAGCTTTACCTTCCACCGCTCCAAGGGGAGTCGGGGTCGGAGCTGGTCCGGAAGGTGCATGGGGCTCCGGCGTGGGCCAGGCGCGTTGCCAGGCGGCCCGGGAAGGGCCACTCAACGCAGGCAGGCTCAGCAGAGCGGTCGGTAGGCGACCGCGAGGGGCGGGCGCCCGTCCCTCCTTCCTTCCTCTCAACCCCTTTCTCTCGCGCTTGGCTTTTCCGGGGATCCTCCGCATTCCCCAGCCATCAGCGGCCGCCCTCGCCCTTCTTTCCCGCCCCGGCCCACCTTCGCCCGCTCCAGCGTGCTCGCCCTCGTCCCCGGCCTCCCCTCGTGGGCCCCCCGCGCCCCGGTCCCCTCCCCCTAGTGGCCGCGGCCCCTTTCACAATAGCGCTACCCGCCTCCCCTCCTCTCGGCTCCCGGTTCGCTCCCGCCCGCTGCCCTCTCGGCGCATGCGCGCTCCGGTCAGCGGCGGCTGCGGCGGCGGCTCCGTTTTTTTTAAAGGGAAACGCTGAGGCGCTGGGGGTGACTGTGGGGGAGGGGGAGCCGGAGCCGCGGAGACCCCCGGGGGAGGCGGCAGACCCCCCTCCGGGAGTAGGAGGGTTCTGGGCGGACCCGTCCCTCCCACCCCCTCCTGAGGAGGAGCGGAGGGGGGGAAATGGAGGCTCGGGGCGGCTGAGGCGAGCTCCGGGGCGGGGGGCCGGGGCGGGGAAGGGGGGGTGCGGGGTGGGGAGACGAGGCGGGCCCGGCCGGGCCAGGGGGGGCCGAAGCGAGCTCCGGGGATGAGCTCGGGGGCGGCTGGGTGCGAGCTCCTGCCTCTGCGGCGAAGGCGACGGTGGCGGCAGCAGAGGCGGCGGCGAGGCCCCCATGGGTCGGCGGCGGGCCTCAGCCGCGGCCTCCACTTCTCCGCTCGCCGGCGGGATGGCGCCCGGGCCTCGGAGAAGCCGCGTTAGCGGAGGCCTGCGGCCGCTCTGCTGAGACGAGCCCGCCAAACTCCCCTCCCCCTCCTCCGTCCTCGACCCCCCGCACCTCGCCCCTTCCCCACCCCCTCCTCCGTCTCGGTCCCCCGCGCCGCTCCGGACCACTATGACCATGAGATCCGCAGTGTTCAAGGCGGCCACGGCTCCTGCCGGCGGCAACCCCGAGCAGCGACTGGACTACGAGCGGGCTGCGGCGCTGGGCGGGCCCGAGGACGAGTCCGGGGCGGCCGAAGCCCACTTCCTCCCCCGGCATCGTAAGCTCAAGGAGCCGGGGCCCCCGCTGGCCTCCTCCCAGGGCGGGAGTCCCGCGTCCTCTCCAGCCGGCTGCGGCGGCAAGGGCCGGGGTTTGTTACTCCCGGCCGGGGCGGCCCCCGGGCAGCAGGAAGAGAGCTGGGGCGGTTCGGTGCCCTTGCCCTGTCCGCCCCCAGCTACCAAACAAGCCGGCATCGGCGGGGAGCCAGTCGCAGCCGGCGCCGGCTGCAGCCCCCGGCCCAAGTATCAGGCGGTGCTGCCCATTCAGACGGGCTCTCTCGTGGCGGCGGCCAAAGAGCCTACGCCCTGGGCTGGGGACAAGGGTGGGGCGGCTCCCCCGGCTGCCACCGCCTCGGACCCGGCGGGACCCCCACCACTACCTCTGCCCGGGCCGCCACCCCTCGCGCCCACCGCCACTGCCGGGACCCTGGCGGCCAGCGAGGGCAGATGGAAGAGTATGAGGAAGAGCCCTCTCGGGGGTGGCGGCGGCTCGGGAGCCTCCAGTCAGGCCGCCTGCCTCAAACAGATCCTTCTGCTGCAATTGGACCTCATCGAGCAGCAGCAGCAGCAGCTGCAGGCCAAGGAAAAAGAGATCGAGGAGCTGAAGTCCGAGAGAGACACGGTACGGGATGGGTTAATCTGCATCAGGGATGGGGAGCGCGTTGTGCGCATGCTCGGGAGAAGGGGGGCTGTAGGAGGCTGAGGTCCCCGCTTGGTTAGGGTTAGAGGAAGTTGGCCACCAGCGAAGGAGTGCTTTAGATGCTAGGTGGTTAGGAGCCTGGCTCACTGACACGTTGGGTCGGAGGGAAGGGTTAAAGGGCGGCATTCAGTGTGTGTGTGTGTGTGTGTGTGTGTGTGTGTGTGTGTGTGTGTGTGTGTGGTGGAGGCTTCGGTAGCCAAAGGGTTAATTTAAAATGACAGTCCCAGACTTGTGGGAAAGCCGTTTAGAGTGGGCAAAGACCGATTTATGAGGGGTTAAAATGATAGGGTGGGGTGCAGATGTGGCGGCTGCATAGAAGGGGTTAAAGCGCTGTTGCGCTGGAAACGCACTGTAGAGGACTGGGACATAACAGCTGTTGCTTCGGCCAGTGCTGCAGCATCTTTAGACCCGAGGGTCGTCGTAGGTCTGTTAGCCGGTAGAGGGTAAAAGATGGGTTACATGGAGTCCTATTTTAGCTTTCCTAAATGGTGTTTTCTAAATGGGAATCACTGCCTTTGATTTCAGGTAGTTTTTTAGTAGCTACCTGAGTTATAAATCATGACCCACTGACCAAGTCTCTTGAATAAGCTTGAAGATTTTGAGACATGAGCTTATTCAATGTATTCAGTAGATCCTTCACCTCCCAGACCCGCTTTAGAATCTTTAGGTAGTGGAGTAGTTTGTTATTTCTTTGAACTTCTAAGGCTTGTTCTCACTGCTCAGCAGTCTTGGGCACCTCCATGTTAAGCACACTCCCTCACACACAGGGAAACTGGTGTGGTGGGTATTGCTGTGCAGCATACCTTTCAGCCGCCTAAAAATAAACATGGTTTCTACAGTTGTGTTCAGGCTGCAGCTCTCTTTCTCACTCTCCTCTTTCCTCTCTTCTCACCCTGGTGCTGTGTGCATCAAAGGCTGAGCATGGGAGCAGAATGGCTATTCATTTTGTTTGTTTTCTAAATGAATCAGTCCCCGGTTGGAGATTGCATTCTACAAGTTGGAGTGGGAGATGAGGCAGGTCTCGTGGAAACCTCAGTGTGGATTGTGGAAGTTCCTCAACATGGAGGTGGCACTGCTCAGCTAGGACACTGCAGTCTAGGGGTGTGATGGTCCTGTAGTTACAGCACATCACACCCTTCCTTCCATGGGGGAGGGGGAGAGACCAGTAAAGAAGAAACCAAGACTGTGTCACCCACAAACAAGGTTAAATAATGCTAAGGCTGTGAATCAGAACAGAAGATGTCATGAGAGAATGGCTAACTAGGGGGACACTGCTGATGGTGGAGATTTTTGCTGAGTTCCTGAAGTAATGTTCCCTTTATAGGCTTTTCAAGGTAGGAGAAAGTGGGGTGAGTTAGTACTTAGCTTTCACTGCTTCTCTTATGTGCTGCAGTGGTCTTAGCATTGCTTAAGTCTGTTTCTCTTATTCCAGTTATTGTTTGGCCTCTTCTGAAATCTATGCAATGGATGTAATAAAGGCAGCATTAATATCACTGTCAAACGCAGGCAAAATTCTTATAGTATGGTGTAAGTAGCACCTTTTTGTCAAAACTGAGTTAATGGGAAGTTTCTCATGACAATAGACTTCCATTTTGTTTGATATTTGTGGTTCTCTTTAATTAGAATGAAAGTAATTTTAATAAATATTTAGATAAGTTACTTTTGCAGGCTCAAATGCAAAGTATAATATGTATGTCATATTTGTTGGTATTATATTACTGGTATCTATCTATTATAATTCCTCCCAATGTAGTGTGTTTTAGAAGTACTCCCTCAGCTATGCATACAGAACATTTTGGTGTAATACTGCTATCCCTAGTAACACCCTGTGCTCCTGACTCCTTTTTACTGTACTATTTGAACATTCCATCACGTCTGGAGTTCTGGAGTGAACATAGAACAGATAGAATTTGGATAACGTTGTGACACTTGAAAAGAATACAGGGCTGAGAATGTAGCTCAGTGGTGCTCAGAGGCCCTGGTTCTGTCCCTAGCATCACATACAACAGTGAAGAACATATATAAGGTTAACTTGAGTGCTAGCTGTAGCAGAGGCCTTGTTATTAAAGGGCACACTGGCCCCGCCCAGTGAAGAAGATCTTCTTTCAGAAGAATGAGCTTAGAATTGCCCCATGTCGCTTACCATCCAGACTAACTCCTACAATTGTCTTTTGCCTTTGTTGGTTTTAAGAAAAGCTATTCAGATTCATGTCTGCCAATTCAAAGTAAAGTCCATGGCAACATGCAGAAGACTGCTGAGTCCCAAATGGGGCTAAGTTCTTACGTTTAACTTCTGTGTGTAAGTCTGCATCTTGTCACTTTCTTTTAGCTCCTTGCTCGGATTGAACGTATGGAAAGGCGGATGCAGTTGGTAAAGAGGGATAACGAGAAAGAAAGGCACAAGCTGTTTCAGGGCTATGAAACTGAAGAGAGAGAGGAAATAGAGTTGTCTGAGAAAATTAAACTGGAGCGCCAGCCGGAGCTTTGCGAGACATCCCAGGCTCTGCCTTCCAAGCCTTTCTCATGTGGACGGAGTGGAAAGGGACACAAAAGGTGTGTTGATAACTTTATTCCAACTATCTGAACCATACAAGGAGTTCTTGCCTGAGTGGGTAGGAATGGCTTCATAGTAACTATAGCCTGAATCGAGAAGTCTCTTATGCTAAGGGCATGGTGGCTCACACCTGTTATCACAGCACTTAGGTGCTGAGGCAAGCCGATTGTTGTGAGTTCAAGGCCAGCCTGGGAAACAATCCCCCCCCCCAGGTTTCTGTGATGTTGAGAAATTGTCTTAAAACATTTTTTTTTTTGTCACATTACTAAATACACATGCAGCTATATCTTAGAATGGGTAAAGAGTGTCACCCTGTTGAGTCTCATGGAGAGTAGAGAGTTAGATACTTCTTTTTCTAGACAGGGTTTCTCCGTGTAGCCCTGGCTGTCCTGGAACTCGCTCTGTAGACCAAGCTGACCTCAAACTCAGATCTGCCTGCCTCTGCCTCCCGAGTGCTGGGATTAAGGCATGCACTGCCACCACCTGACCCAGATATTCTTAAACATAGATGCTTGATCATTTACCAAAGGCCTGTTGTGTATACTTTCAAGCATGACACTTACAGCCCTTGTCTTCCAAATGAACAGTAGATGTTTAGGTACCTGGATACTGCTCTTGCTTTCAAATATATTTTAATCTCAGATTTTATTCAAAAGTCAATTAATTTTATAACATTTTCTTTCCTACCTAATAGGAAAACCCAATTTGGAAATACAGAAAGAAAGACTACTGTTAAAAAGCTGGCTCCTGAATTTTCAAAAGTCAAAACAAAAACTCCTAAGCACTCTCCCATTAAAGAGGAACCCTGTGGTTCCTTATCAGAAACTGTTTGTAAACGTGAATTGAGGAGCCAAGAAACCCCAGAAAAGCCCCGGTCTTCAGTGGATACCCCACCAAGACTCTCCACTCCCCAAAAGGGACCCAGCACCCACCCCAAGGAGAAAACCTTCTCAAGTGAGATGGAAGATTTGCCGTACCTTTCCACCACAGAAATGTATTTGTGTCGTTGGCACCAGCCTCCCCCATCACCGTTACCATTACGGGAATCCTCTCCAAAGAAGGAGGAGACTGTAGCAAGTAAGGCATAGAGAACACTTGCTCTTATACCCTAGTGGTGGCGGTCAAGCTAACAAGTGTGAAATGCCTTTGGCATTTTTTAAAAAGTGCAATCAATAAAGCAGAGTTCTGTCAAGAATGAGTAAGTTAACAGCCAGAGACAGACACTGTGCAGGCATTGCAAATAGATGGAATTACAGCAAAATGTGCTCAATGTATGTGTCTGCTTACAACACTGGGAGATGTGTTTGCCAGTAAGTTGCTCATCACAAGAGCACCAGACTTGGGGGTGTAATCTCCGGCAACTTGCATGCCCTCTGAAAGAAGGGTTTTCTGTGCTGTGAAATGCATAGAACTTACACTTTGCCGTGCACGACTGTTCCTGCATTGATGTTGTGTGAAACCTGGGAGGGTGGTCTTTGGGTGTTCTCAGGGGCCAATGGTAATTTTTGATTGGGGAGTCAGCTTGGGGTGGGAAATTTCACCTGGGCCTCCGTTCTCTAACTACACAAACATTTATCTGTATCTCTATGTCCCGGTCTGTGGGCAGGAGGGATCTGCCAAAGGCCAACAGTCTTATTTACCTTACTACACTTCACAAGGTTCTGAGATGCAAAGAGTTGACGTGGATTGCAGTAGCCCATTGGTTGTTGATATATTTAAATAAAATGGTCTACAAACTATTTTTCAAACAATAAGGACTATCTTGGGATATCTGAGCTGCTTGGGGAGGGGGTGGGGTTTGGGAACTTGGTCTTTATTCCTGTTTATTTTCTTAATGGCTTCCACCAGAGATGATCCCCACCTTTTATATGAACCAGTAACTGTGATGTGTCTTCAATTGTGTCGTATTAGTCTATGATAGTTATTGTGGGTGCTCTTGGGTAATGGTGGGGAAACCTTTCTTAGGTAGAGCCTCAGACCTAAGTTTCTACCCTGTGCCTTACTATAGCAGGAATGGGGATGGGAATCCATTCCAAACAAGATGTGAGCAGTCTCCAGGCTTTGTTTGGCTGTTGTGGGGAAGACAGACCAATGACCTAATCTTTATTAGGCCTCACACTTGAGTACACGAGACAGCTAGATTCAGATACTTTTGTTGTTTCAGTCAGTTGAACAGGTTCATCTTAATAGTTAAATTTTGCTGCTACAGCAATGCTGTGTAACAATTTAGGAGAAACCGTGAAGCAACTTCCCATCCGGAATTAGGAAATGGCTTGGTCTGGAGTTCTTCTGTGTGACTGGCTGTTTTTGAAAACCCTGTCTACTCTAGTAGAACAAGTCCCAAACACATCTGAGATTGTGGGCATAACAACATGAGGGAGTGTGATTGGGAGATCCCAGTCTCTTGAGGAGCCTGAGTTACGCATCAATGTGTGAACCCTTATCTTATGATGCCCCTATCTCAAGTGGAAGTCTCAATGACTTATCCTAAGAAAGCCAAAGTCTTTGTGCATGTTGTTCAGGCTGCACCAGCAAGGTAGTTTGTGTGGAGGGAGGAGGAAACTGTTTAAGAAGACTACATATGTAAGTTCTGAGAACACTGATCTATTTATTTGAAAAATAGGGTCAACTTTTACTCACCTGCCATGTTCTGAGTTTAAGGTTTGATATCCTTGGCCATCAACTGTTGCAGGGAAACCACCCTAAATAATGAAGAAAAGAAGTCGTCTCAGTGTAAAAAAAAAAGTGGTGGGCTTATTTTCTTTTCTTTTGTCTGTTGTTCCCTCTTCCCCTTCCCCAGAGAGAAATTCTCAAAAGAACAGCTCAAAAACCAAAATGGCCTCCTAGTGAGAACATGAGTGACGCTCCTCTCCTCCGCTCTGGGTATGGGCTCTTTTTCTTTTTACACTGAGATGATTCTTCTTTCCTGCATTATTTAGGGTGTCTGATGCCATCAAGTGTTGCAGGCGAAACTTCAGTCTTGGCTGGTGAGTAGATTAGGAACTGCCGGCCGGGCCTGGGTGGGAATTGGCGGGATGGTGGCTGGTTGGGAGCTCCATTCTCTGTCTGTTGGATGTGGAAGAGCGAGAGTCCTTGGTGTTTGCTGACACTATCGTAGGCGTCCAGATGACAACGCATTTCAGTTGTTTTTCAGGAACTTCAATAGCATCCATTATGTGAATTGTCAGGTATTGGCTTAGGTCCTGAGTTTGATAGACTGCAATGGCATTTTAGGTTCTTTTATACCATAGCGAGGACACTGACTATGGCTTTGGGTGAGGCCATAAAATGGATTCCTATCACTTGGTAACTGTCTTATCTGGGGAGAAACTGCTTGTCCTAGTGAATAGTTGTATAGTTGTGTGACTTTGGATTTAAGGGTGGTTCCACCCCTCCTCTTTTTCTTTTCTTTTTCTTTATTTTTTTCAGTTCCTTCTTGGAGGGACCACTCAGTAGAGCCTCTAAGGGACCTAAATCCTTCAGACATTTTGGAGGTAAGTACCGAGAACTGTTAATGAAGAGAATTGGAAACAATAGAATATAGGGTGTACAACTGGCCCTGTGGTCGGCACCTATAGTCCCAGCTGTATCACTTGGTGCTCTTTTTTTAAATTTATTTATTATGTATACAATATCTTGTCTGCATGTATGCATGAAGGCCAGAAGGGGGCACCAGATCTCATTACAGATGGTTGTGAGCCACCATGTGGTTGCTGGGAATTGAACTTAGGACCTTTGGAAGAGCAGGCAATGCTCTTAACTGCTGAGCCATCTTTCCAGCCCTACTTAGTTAGCTACTCTTAAGACCAGAAAGGAACTTGAGGTTATTTACTTTATGCTTTTCATCTTATGGATGAGAAAAGTCGGTTCTAGAGTAATTAAGTCATTTTTCAAAATCAGTATTGAGATGGTGTTCCAAACTAAGGTAGATTCCATATTGAGTACAGAAGTTAGGCTGTGCCACTCAGCAACACAATCCTATGTTCCAAACTTACTTAATTATTGAAAAAAGGTTATTTTGATTTCAGACTCTTAAAAGGTATAGAGGTAGGGTGAGTTTATGACCCTCACACAGGCAATTGGCATGACTTATCCTGGAAAGTTATGGGGATTAAATTTGAAATTTGGGATTTCGGAAAGAATCAGGGTAAGGACAGGAGTTTCTTTTATTGATTCTTTAGCCAGAAGGTTTATAATGTATCTATGGAACACAGATATTTTTAGAACCTGAAGGTGAAAAATGCTATTCTCCTGAAAACTGAGTTATTCCAACATGGTCATAAGGAGCTTACCCCTGCTGTTCCTCTTCCAGAACCTAGACGACAGTGTGTTTTCAAAGAGGCATGCAAAACTGGAGCTAGATGAGAAGAGAAGAAAAAGGTAAGGACTAGACCCCCATCCTGGGAACATCTGAGCCCCAGAACTGAGACTTCCATATCAGGGAGAGTCTTAGGGCATGTAACATTCCTGTGGGGCGGTTGTCCTAACAGGCAGATACACGTGTTGGCCTTCCTCGGATGCCCTCCCTCAGTGCTGTTTTGTGTGGAACACCAGCACATAACTGTAGTCAGTCACTTGACCCCGGGAGAGGAGTTAAGTAAGGGTCTTCTGGCATCGGAGAGTGAATTGCTTTTGTAGGACAATTTCTAGCTAAGTAGTAATGCTGGGTTTGTTTCTTTTTGTCTGGTTTTCCCCAGATGGGATATTCAGAGGATCAGGGAACAAAGAATTTTACAGCGACTGCAGCTCAGAATGTATAAAAAGAAAGGAATTCAGGAATCTGAGCCTGAGGTTACCTCATTTTTCCCTGAGCCAGATGACGGTAAGTTGTATCTAAAAATGTAGACTTTGGGGCTGGAAAGATGCCTTAGTGGTTGAGTGCTTCTGTTCTTGGAGAGACCAGAGTTAGGTTTCCAGCACTCACATTGGTGGCTCAGAACTGCTTGTAACTTCAGTTGCAGGGGACCTGATGCCCTCTTCTGACCTCAGAGGGCACTGCACTCACATATACAAACCCCTACCCATAAACACGAAATAAAGCGAACAAATTTACAAATGTAGGCTTTTCAAGGGAAAAGGGGTACAAATCTCAGCACAGCTTGTTCTGATGAGTAAGCTGTGTTTTGGAAGTGGTGTAGTTGTTGTTACACATTTCTGACCTCTTGCCAACACGGTCTCATATGATTTTCTTCCATAGTTGAAAGTTTGATGATTACCCCCTTCTTGCCTGTTGTAGCATTTGGACGACCATTACCAAAATTAACTCCACAGTAAGTATAAAGGTTTTTTTTTTTTTTCGTTTCTCCCTTTTCAAATAGTTTATTCCTCTTTTCCAAACTCCATGGAAGCCTAGATAAAATGGGGACCTGACAAGCCAGGAAGTAGAATGCTTTTTAAGTCAGAAGTAGATGATTTGCCTCTTCAGTGGTCAACTAACCGTTGCTAGGCTTTGCTGCCACCTTCTCACTTTGCTGTCCTCTTTTTTTTTTTTTTTTTTCTTTTTTGCCAGGAACTTTGAGCTACCCTGGTTGGATGAACGAAGCCGTTGCAGGTTGGAGATCCAGAAGAAGCAAACACCTCACCGGACGTGTAGGAAGTAGCTGTGCTGGCAAGAACCCTGTCTTCAGATAGTTGTAGCATGCCATTCCAAGAGAATGGCTGAGACCTGTATATGTGACCTATGTCCTCATGTGTGTTACTCACTGGTAATGCCTTTCCATACTCCTTCATTTTAGTTTTGTTTTCGTCACCCTGACTTCACAAAACAAACAAAAGAAACCTCTTGCATTGGGCTTATTTTGAATTACGGAGAGTTATTGGGACTTCTTTTTCCTTTTTGGGGAAATGAGCTCATGCACTTATCATATAGGACGGTAGATTTGGGAGTTTTAGGAGCCACTTCTGCTCACTTGCCTGTGTTGAAGGGGTACGAGGGCTCTTCATTAGCCACGTTGAAGATGGAGTGACCCCGGTCTTGTAGGAGCTGTGCCTGCCCTGCCCTGTGCTTCCCTGGTGCGCCTTTTGAACAGTTTGGGTGTAGTAGACTTTACACTAAAGTAAACAAAGAGACCTTACCATAAGCTTTAGGACCCAAGGAGGAATAACAGATGAAGCAAGTCACCCTGATAGAGGAAGAAATAAGACTATTGTGTGAAAGTTGGTTCTCTCAAAACTAGGCTGTGATAAAGGAGGTGGAAAGAGGTGTGTGGCTGAGCACTTTCTTAATTAATGGGTAACTGAAGTTCTTTTCCCACCCCTCAAAAAAGAAAATGTTTAGAAAAAGAGATCAGGGATGTAAGTTTCCAACTAGTTCCAGTGCTAAACAGAAACGTTGTCATTTGGGGATGGCACACCAGAGTTTGTTACAGATGTCCTTACGTCACATCACTTCTCAATATTCCTTAGTGGGGTTTCATCCTATTAGCCAAACGTGTGGGGGTGAGGGAGAAAATTTGGGGCGGGTGGGGGGAGGGTATGGAAAGATATGCTTCCTTTGACTGGCAAATGTCATCTTGAAACAAAGAGTTGTACCTAATGAACCTCTGTTCGTTTTGTAAAATATAGATTTATACATGTACCATCTTGGTTACTATCTCCTGCCTTTGTTTTGTTACCAAAAGAAAAAAAATCAGGACAGCACTCCTAGGCCACTTTNTTTTTTTTTTTTTTTTTTCTTTTTTGCCAGGAACTTTGAGCTACCCTGGTTGGATGAACGAAGCCGTTGCAGGTTGGAGATCCAGAAGAAGCAAACACCTCACCGGACGTGTAGGAAGTAGCTGTGCTGGCAAGAACCCTGTCTTCAGATAGTTGTAGCATGCCATTCCAAGAGAATGGCTGAGACCTGTATATGTGACCTATGTCCTCATGTGTGTTACTCACTGGTAATGCCTTTCCATACTCCTTCATTTTAGTTTTGTTTTCGTCACCCTGACTTCACAAAACAAACAAAAGAAACCTCTTGCATTGGGCTTATTTTGAATTACGGAGAGTTATTGGGACTTCTTTTTCCTTTTTGGGGAAATGAGCTCATGCACTTATCATATAGGACGGTAGATTTGGGAGTTTTAGGAGCCACTTCTGCTCACTTGCCTGTGTTGAAGGGGTACGAGGGCTCTTCATTAGCCACGTTGAAGATGGAGTGACCCCGGTCTTGTAGGAGCTGTGCCTGCCCTGCCCTGTGCTTCCCTGGTGCGCCTTTTGAACAGTTTGGGTGTAGTAGACTTTACACTAAAGTAAACAAAGAGACCTTACCATAAGCTTTAGGACCCAAGGAGGAATAACAGATGAAGCAAGTCACCCTGATAGAGGAAGAAATAAGACTATTGTGTGAAAGTTGGTTCTCTCAAAACTAGGCTGTGATAAAGGAGGTGGAAAGAGGTGTGTGGCTGAGCACTTTCTTAATTAATGGGTAACTGAAGTTCTTTTCCCACCCCTCAAAAAAGAAAATGTTTAGAAAAAGAGATCAGGGATGTAAGTTTCCAACTAGTTCCAGTGCTAAACAGAAACGTTGTCATTTGGGGATGGCACACCAGAGTTTGTTACAGATGTCCTTACGTCACATCACTTCTCAATATTCCTTAGTGGGGTTTCATCCTATTAGCCAAACGTGTGGGGGTGAGGGAGAAAATTTGGGGCGGGTGGGGGGAGGGTATGGAAAGATATGCTTCCTTTGACTGGCAAATGTCATCTTGAAACAAAGAGTTGTACCTAATGAACCTCTGTTCGTTTTGTAAAATATAGATTTATACATGTATTGCCTTTCATTAGTCTTCAGGACTATTGTATAAAAACAAGTAGGGGTCTAATCTCCTAGAAGGTAGGGGCTTTTATCCTTGAAGAGAGTATGTCCCCGGATTATTAGCACTTTTAGAGGAGAAGCCAAGGTATGGAGGGTGTGTGGCTGGCCCATCAGCTGAGCAGGAGAGAATGGAATTGCCATTGTAGGAAGAGAAGAAAAGTTCCTCAGGGGCCTCCCACTGCTAAAGCTTTTTTTTGAGATGTTATCTGTGCTCCCTGGGTTTGATTTTGAAAGGAATTATTCCAGCAGTACAAGTAGTATTCTTGGATGATCTTGCTGCTCTCAATTCTCTTTTGTGTGTGTTTGTGTGTGGCTGTGGGTTTTCACCTGTAACCCCATCTGTTTAGGAGTGTGGTCTCTCTGTAATGGAAGCTGCTGTAAACTATTGCGGCAAGGATGTGGAGAGAAAGAGGACTTGTTCCACAGAGGCTTTCATCTCACACCTTAAGGATGAGGATATATCTAAAAAAAAATTGGGCCAGATTTTTGTGTTTCTGTTTTTTTGTTTTTAATGAGGCAAACTGGCTAGTGCTCCGACCCTGACCTGTGTTATGTTTCCTTACAATGTGCTCCTCCCACAGGAATAACCTCAATCAGTTGCCTCTTTTCTTTGTTTCTGATCCCTCTCAGGTTCCTCTTGCTACCGTGATTTGTCAGATTCCTACTTTGGGTATGGGTTAGCAGACCTAGCCTCTCACAGAGGAGTCCTCAGATCCTGTTTTGGCTAGACTGAGAGGAATCCATGAGGTGCTATCTGGCAGGACATAAGTGGATTCTATTGCTTTGGTTCTCCTTTCCCTGAGGGCCTACTATTTTTGACATCCTCTCCTAGATTTCCTTTGGTTTGGGTGTGTTGAGGTTTGTTGAGAAGGAGGTTGAAGCAAAGTTCCAGGAGTGAAATTACAGTGTGTTACAAATGTGGGGAAAATTAGTCTTATTTTTCCCTGCATGGGATCCAGCACTGTGAAATTCAGTCTTCAGTAGAAAGAAAGGCCCTGCAGTTCTTCTAAAACATAGTTCCTTATTTCTTTCTTTAACAAAGTTTAAGCTAGTGTTAATAAATTAAAAGAGAAATGCTTGTCTCTCCACCTCAGCATTGTTTTATGCCCATTTCATATCGTTGTCTGTGCTGTAATTCATACTTTTGATACCATTTCTGATGTGTAAAGTTGGCTGTCTTGTAAATATCTTATAAAGAGTTCAATTGTAAATAAACTATTGTGGCCGTTAATTTTTGAACTTTTGCCTCAATTTATTAGATTTGTTGGGAAACAAACATTAAATAATTCTACTTATATGAAAGATTAGAAAAGAATCTTATTCTTAAATAAAATAGAATGACATATTACTTCCCCCTCTTACTAAGGGACTCAATCCATTTGTGTCAGAGGACAGTTATATGTTTCGCTCCTTTGTCCTGAGCCCTTCTCTACATAAATGGCAAATTACAAAGCTCACGTGCCCTCAACGTCTGATACATCACTTCTGGATAACAATCCAGACGAGTGAGGTCCAGATCTGTTTAACTATGTCTTCCACACACATCTTTTTTCTGGGTGTTTGAAAACGCTCACTGTAGCATGAACCCCTTGGTGACTAGAGTGATGGGAAAAGATGTCGCTTCTCTCACAGTTCCTCTCGTAAGATGTCTACTGTCCCAGACATCTGTTCATGCTGAACATCCAGTTCTTACTGCTGCTTCTCACAGCCAGGACAGCTTAGCTTACATGAGACCCTGTCTCAAAAAAAAAGTCCCAAGCAGGGTATGGTGGTGCACACCTGTAATCCTAGCACCTGGGGAGGAGTGGGAAAAGGCTAGCCTGAGGTCAGGCTGGGGGATAAAGTGGACTAAAGGACAGCGGCAGACTATCCTTTTCCTTATTTAGACACTAACCTGGCGGTCCTACTCATCGGTTTAGCTTGTGATGGTTATTATAAAGTCCTGCGTCCTCCATTTTGAATCCCGGCATTTGGTTCGGGAGCTGAACTGCGTTATACATTTGGTCACCTTTCTCCAGTTGAGAGAACCAGACCCTGCAAACATGAGTCCTTCTGGTCTCTTACTGTATGAGTCTGGTAAGCGATGGGGTCCTTATTTATGAGAACAGCTCAGAATCCTGTTACCGCATGGCGATTTGGTGTATATTACCAATGTGCACTAATTAGTTTACAAACTTTCGAGGTAGCAGTACTGAGGGTTTTTTTTTTTTTCATTGCTGACAAATGCCCAAAGCATTTTCTGTCAGATAACAACACGTCAGGATTTTAAACACTAGATTTCTAATATCCCTATGTAGCCGAGGATGATCCGGCCCCTAAGTGTCCTACCAACCTGAACTACTAAAAATGTGATAACTGGGTCGGGTAGACACAGAGTTAGAAAAATCTGAATACACACAGAAAACGCCACAGTATTTAGTTGTGTCTCCACTGCAGTTTCTCCTTTCCCCTATATTTAGGCTGAGGTGCAGAGCTGGCAAATCTGACACAGATCTAAGGCTTTTTCACCTGGATTCGTGGTGTTATCATGCGATGGAATACAGCATAATGCTTCGTCTAAAATTCAGGGGGAAACGAGAAATGGAAAACGACAATCATGGGACAGCTCCAGCGCCACATTGGAGCTGTAACAAGTCGAAGCCCTCCCCAAGGAAAGCTCAAGATGGAGGAGCAAAGCACCCAGAGAAGCCGCAGGGGACCAATCCCCAGGCCCTGTGCCCGCACAGGGGAAAATGCAGGGCCGAGCCACGCCCCCTTACATCACCGGCAGACGTAATCTCGCGCTCCCGCAAACGTGCCGCAGGGCGCAGGTCCCGCCCCGCGGGAAGAGAGTCGGCCCGCGCCGGACGTGAAGCACGCCGGGACTGCTCTCGAGCCTCCCGGCAGCCTCCGCGACGGGCGTGGTGCGTAAGGAGCTGACCAGCGGTGGCCGTTCTCCGTAAGATGGCGGACCGGCGTCGGCAGCGCGCTTCCCAGGACACCGAGGACGAAGAGTCTGGTGCTTCGGGTTCCGACAGCGGCTCTCCGGCGCGGGGCGGCGGCAGCTGCAGCGGAAGCGCCGGAGGCGGCGGTAGTGGCTCGCTGCCTTCTCAGCGCGGCGGCCGCGGCGGGGGCCTGCATCTGCGGCGGGTGGAGAGCGGGGGCGCCAAGAGCGCAGAGCAGTCGGAGTGTGTGAGTGAGCGCTTGCCGGGCGGCGACCCGGCAGGGGGCGGGGTGGAGGTGCTGCGAGACGGCCGGGGCTCCCGGTAGACGGGAAGGTTGTCCCGCTGCGAGTCTGCAGCCACCCCAAGCCCCAGGGATGGGTGGCTTCCGAGCCCGGGCGGTGCTGCGCGGGTGTTGACAGAGGACTGGGGCTGGAGGTGTAGGGGATCGGCCTTCTTGATTGTGACTTAGAACGATTTACCTTTCTCCATATCCCTAGTCGACCGTTTGTGTTGAGTCTTCAGTTCTCCCTCACATTTATTTGCGGGTGGGCTCCCCACGTCTGGGAATGACTCCTCTAACCCGTGTCATCTTCTTCCTCTCAGGAGAGTGAAGATGGCATGGAAGGCGATGGTGAGTGGTTTTTAATTTATCATGATGAAGTGTTTGGACATAAATTGAGGCCACGCATTTCTAACACTGGGTTTCTCTCAGATTGTTAAGGGTTTTTCGAGACAGGGTTTCTCTGTAGCTTTGGTTCCTGTCCCAGAACTAGCTCTTGTAGACCAGGCTGGCCTCGAACTCACAGAGATCCGCCTGCCTCTGCCTCCCGAGTGCTGGGATTAAAGGCGTGCGCCACCACCGCCCTTGACAGTTTTTTTTTGTTTGTTTGTTTGTTTGTTTTTTGTTGTTGTTTGGTTGTTTTTTTTTTTT